GCTCCTCTGGGAATGCAGGGGGAAGGAAGCTGCTCCTCTGGGAATGCAGGGGGCAAAGGCTGCTGTGCTGTTCCCAGGTCAGATTGGATCCAGGTAGGAATTCTTGGCTCCTCCCCTGGGTGCAGCATCCCCCCATGGGATGATGGAATTTTCTCAGCCATGCAGGGACACTCACTGGCCCATGGAGAGAAGATAATTAATAATTAATGGCTCATTAACAGATGAGATCTCCTGGAGGGAGGATTGTGTCCTAGACCGCAAGGCCAGATGTGCTCAGTTGCCATCTGTTAGAGGTGTGGCAGTTGTCTTCTCCTAAGTGGGCACTTTCCTTCATCTCTTCCCCAAACCAATCCTCTGTTCATGGGCTATTGAATGTCACTGTGTGACTGATAAAAGCTGCAGCATCCCACTGGGAGATGCTCTGCCCAGAGGGAGGAGCCAAGCGTTCCTACCTGGATGTAATCTGGAGTTTCTGGAGCACCAGCCCGGCTTTTCCTGCCCTGGATTTCCCAGAGGAACAGCTGCCTCTTCCACTGCAAGGAGACCACCCCCTTTTCTACAGGATCACTGCTCCAACAGAGCCACACCTGACACTCCCGGGACTGCAGCCACAATTCCCAACTGGACTGCAGCCAACACCCTGTCCAACAGGGTGCCAGGCTGTACCCTGACTCTGTCAGTGTTGTTTGGGTTCACTGCGTTGTTTATTTTATCTTTTTCTTTTCTCCCCTAATAAAGAACTGTTATTCCTGCTCCCATATTTGTGCCTGAGAGCCCCCCTTAATTTCAAATTTACAACAATTTGGAGGGAAGGGGTCTACAAATTTTTTTTTTCCATTTCAGGGGAGGCTCCTGCCTTCCTTAGCAGACACCTCTCTTTGCAAACCAAGGCAACTGGTTGTGGTAGAGATAAAGAAAGCTGCCAAAAACCCAAAAAAACCAGAAGAGAACTGCCCCACCCCTAACAGATGGCAATAGAATTCACACCCCCAGCCACGTCTTCCAACCTAAGACAATTGTTGTTGTTTTAATGAAGGAAAGGGATAATTGTTGGGTTAAGAATGCTTTATTCTTTAGATAAATATTAGTTTTAGAGGTTGTGAGATTTTAAAAGGGTAAGTAGTTGTAAGTAGTTATAAGGTTTTTGTTATAATATATAATTTCTAACAGATAGTTGTTATAAAGTTTATTTTGGGTTTGTTTTACTATTTTTATTTAATTTTGTTGTATTGTGGATATTTTGGTTTAATGGGTTCTTGTTATGTTTATATAGATGTTTTTATTATAATTGTTAGTTTTTAGTTTATTTTAAATTTTTATAGTATAAATTTAAAATTATTTTATTAATATGTTTTTATTACAAGATAATATATAATTTTATAATTTTTATATAGTTTTTGTAAGGCTTATTTTGTTTTTAAGTTTATTATTTTTATTTAATTTTGTTGCATTGTGGATATTTTGGTTTAATGGGTTTTTGTTATATTATATATATGTTTTTATATATATAAAAAACTATATATATGTTTTTATATATGTTATAATTTTTAACATTTTAGCTTATTTGATATAATTATATTTCTATATTATAATTTTTGTTATTAATACAGTTTTTATTTATTTAAGATATAATTTTATTTATAATTATAGAAGTTTAAGTTTATGATTTTTTATTTAATGTTTGTGTATTTTATTTTTCTATTAATCTAAGGTTTTTTAAGCTTGTAGATTAATTTTTTTCTATTTGTGGAAGTTTTTATTTTTTATTTTATTATAAAATTATCATTGTCCTTAAGCTATTCAATTAGAGTGAATATATTTTTTGCTATGTTTTTTTTTTAATTTGTCTGGTGGGGTTTTTTTGAGTTTTTTTAACCTTTTTTGCAAATTTAAAAATTTATTATTTTTAATGATTCTGCTCAGTTTTCCCCATAAAACCTTGAAAACTGCCACATCCTTCCTCTTCTCATTGCTGCACTTCAGCTCTTGGCTTACTTTGGGAGACATCATGATGCTTAATTAGTGAAATTTAATGAGCAGGACAGGCCCAAGCTTTAGCCTGAATCCCTGTTTTCCTGAGGTAAGTACAATGTGCTTGAGACAAATGGACTGGGATAAAAACAAAAATGAAGGCAAAAAATCCCTAGCATAGCTTTTAGGCAGGAATAAACCAAATTTTCCCTGCCTGGCGTAGCCCATCCCACCCCTGTGGAGCAGCACGGCCTCATCCCAGCGGGCTTTGGCCAAATGCAGAATCTCCCAGGAAATGCAGCTGAAAGTAGACCTGAATTTTTAACATTAAAATCAGGGTGAAAATCTGAACAAAAAGCCAAGAAGATGAGGATATCTGCACTGGAGATATCCCAGTGGAGTCTGAGCCTGAGCAGATGCTGAGCTGGTGCCCTTTGATTGTTCTTTGGCCAGCAGGAGCCAGAGCCCCTCCAGAGAAGCTGCTCCGAGCTCCCTGCCAGCCCTCCTTTAACAGGATTATTTTTATTTTGGCAGGTCCAGGCACAGGCCATGGGAACAAACAGGCACCGGTGAGTAAAGCCCGCTCCCAGGTGCCATGGGGCTGTCACTGGTGACACTGGTGACACTGGTGACACTGGTGACACTGGTAATTCTGGTGTTTCTGGTGACTCTGGTGACACTGGTGACACTGGTGACTCTGGTGACTCTGGTGACTCTGGTGACACTGGTGATTCTGGTGATTCTGGTGACACTGGTGACACTGGTGACTCTGGTGACTCTGGTGACTCTGGTGACTCTGGTGACTCTGGTGATTCTGGTGATTCTGGTGACACTGGTGACTCTGGTGATTCTGGTGACACTGGTGACACTGGTGACTCTAGTGACACTAGTGAGACTGGTGACACTGGTGACACTGGTGATTCTGGTGTTTCTGGTGACTCTGGTGATACTGGTGACACTGGTGACACTGGTGACACTGGTGATTCTGGTGTTTCTGGTGACTCTGATGACACTGGTGACACTGGTGACTCTGGTGACTCTGGTGACTCTGGTGATTCTAGTGTTTCTGGTGATTCTGGTGACTGGTGACACTGGTGACACTGGTGACTCTGGTGACACTGGTGACACTGGTGACCCCAGACACAGCCTGGTGTTGAGGAGCTCAGCTGGCTCCCAACAGGGTCCAGGCTCTCAGAGGAGCCTGGTGAGTTTGCCTCTCCTCAGCTGCCATTCAGGACAGAGAAACCAGGGTCATGAAAGGATGCAGTTCTATTCTGAGGGTTTTTTCATCCCCAGCTCTTTTACACTCACCCCCTTGGCGTGGGCAGCGCAGAGCTGGGCTCAGCCCCTGGCCGGGGGCTGTGCCCAGGGGGTCTCACACTGGCAGGGAGGGGAGGACACCTTAGAAGGACACCAGAGTCACATCCTGGTGCTCCTGGGGACACGGAGTGCTCGGTCCCACCGGGCTCCTCCATCCTGCCCGTGCCTCTGCAGGGCTCGGGGCTGAGCCGGGAGCTCCCCGGGGAGCAGAAGTCGGATGCTGGTGATGTGACCCTGCTGGAAGCCGCCCGCAGGGACGAGGACCCGGTGCTGAGGGAGTTCCTGAGGCTGCTGGCCCTCTGCCACACCGTCATGGTGGAGGACAGGGGCGGTGGGTTGAGCCGCCCCTCGGGGCTGTGGGGCCAGCTGTGGGGTGGGAGAGCCCGTGGGTGGCTCCTGCCACTGTCCCTGTGCCATGGATTTGTGTTTGGGGGTGTTTTAAAGCTCACGGGTGGGAACAAAAGCACAACGGGGATAATCCTGGCTGGGGCAACAAGCAAAAAGGGTCAGAGAATCCCAGAATGGCTGAGGTTGGGAGGGACCTAAAAACTCATCCAGTGCCACCCCTGTCATGGTAGGGACACCTTCCACTACCCCAGGGTGCTCCAGCTCCAATGTCCAGCCTGGCCTTGGGCACTGCCAGGGATCCAGGGGCAGCCACAGCTGCTCTGGGCACCCTGTGCCCTCCCAGGGAACAATTCCTTCCCAATATCCCATCTAAATGTCACTTTTTCAGTAGGAAGCCATTCCCTGTGTCCTGTCCCTCCACCCCTTGGCCCAGTCCCTCTCCAGATGGGATGAGCAGGACTGAGTTTCCCCAGCCTGGCAGCTCAGGCTCAGGGTGTCAGAGCTGGGCAAGAACGGGGCACTGCAGCTGTCCCAGAGGTGTTTGCTGGGAGTCTCTGTGTGCCATCCTCCTCCTCCTCTCCTGCAGACCAGCTGGTTTACCAGGCAGCCTCCCCGGATGAGGAAGCGCTGGTGCTGGCAGCCAGGAACTTGGGCTACGTCTTCCTGGCCCGGACTCAGGACACCATCACCATCAGGGAGCTGGGCAGGACCAGGACGTACGAGGTGCTGGCCATGCTGGATTTCAACAGCGACCGCAAGAGGATGTCTGTCCTGGGTGAGCGGGCTGGGCTGGGCTGTCCCAAGGTCCCTCTGTGCTCAGCCCCACAAGGGGTGGCACTGGGATGGCTGCAGGTGGCCACAGCTGGCTCCTAAGGGTCATCCTGGTCATCCCTGTGGATTTGGTCAAGGCAGCCAAGAAGGGTTTGAGCAGCCAAGAGAGAGGAATTAAATCCAGGGCTCAGAGGAGCTGTGTGAGGAGCTGACAGTCCCTGATTCTGCCCCGTGCTGGTGCAGATCTGGGGATATTGCTGTGCTTCCCACGGCCGCAGATGGAAAAGCACCAGCGAACCTCTGGTGCCTTCTGGGGCCAGCACAGGCCAGCACTGTGTGGGGACAGCCACGAATGGGAGCCGTCTCTGAGGGGACCTGAGGTGTCCTTCCCTCCCTGGCAGTGCGAGACCCCCAGGGCACCATCCGGCTCTACACCAAGGGTGCTGACACCGTCATCCTGGACAGGCTGCGCAGGCGAGGGCCCGAGGAGACCCTCACCGAGAGGGCTCTGGATGTGAGTGCCACACCAGCCCGGGGTGACAGGACTGCTGTCCCTCCTCCTGGGGTGACAGGACTGCTGTCCCTCCTCCCGTGGTGACAGGACTGCTGTCCTTCCTGCTGGCTTTGGGCTGGGTGTCCTGCAGTCCGTGCCCTGCTGCTCTTCCTCCCTCTGCCTTAGGGATTTTGGTTCTGCCTTCTGCTCTAGGAGCCTCACCTGCTTGTGGGATGGGGATAAGAGGCATGGAATCCACCTCTGGTGTTCTGCATCCAGCTGCATGCAGGGATGCTTGTGGGGATGCTGCAGGATGGGGGGAGAGACACACCCAGGTCCTGGAGTGCCTCTGGCTCTGCCCACGGCTGGCCTGGGGTGATGCCCTGGTCCTGTGAGGGTCTCACGATCCTCTCCTGGGGAGGGAGGAGAGTGCTGACGTGTCCTCCCTCAGCGCTTTGCGGAGGAGACGCTGCGGACGCTGTGCGTGGCCAGCAGGGAGGTGAGCGAGGCCGAGTTCCGCGCCTGGAGCCGGAGGCACCGCGAGGCCACGGTGCTGCTGCAGCACCGTGCCCAGGAGCTGGACAGGCTCTACGAGGAGATGGAGCAGAACCTGCAGGTGGGATGGGGCTGGGGTCAGGAGGAGCTGTCTGCGCCCCAGAGCTCAGGCATGTGGGGTTTGGCTCTCCAGAATGAGGAGGTCCAACCCAACACCCATTCCCCGGAGGGAGGAGTTCTCCCTGAGGGGTGACTTTGTGACATGCCAGTGGACACTGGGGTGTCAAGCTGTGTCTACCCCCGGCTGGTTGGATCCAGGGGTGATTCCCACCTCCGTGTCCTGCCCTGCCCCGTGCCATGACACCCAGTCACCCCCCTCCAGCTGCTCGGGGCCACAGCCATCGAGGACAAGCTGCAAGATGGAGTCCCCGAGACCATCCAGCTGCTGAAACTGGGCAACATCAAAGTGTGGGTGCTGACAGGAGACAAACAAGGTCAGTGGAGGCACCCCCAGACCCCTCAACACGTTTCACTTCTCCCCTAACCAGGACCAGAGAGGAGAAAGGCCACTGGAAGTGGGCAGGAACTGGTCCCGCTGCTCCCTTTACCCTCCAATAGCAGCACATCCCACCCGCCAGGGGAAACTGAGGCAGGGGAAGGAGCTGCTGCCCACCAAGGGCTTTTGGAGCCAAGGGCTGGGGGCTGCCCTGGGCTGGGGGGCAGCACCACGGACCATTGAGAGCTGGGTGTTGCAGAGACGGCGATGAACATCGGCTACGCCTGCAGGCTGCTGACGGACGACATGGAGATCCTGGAGGAGAAGGAGGTCAGGTGAGGAATCGTCCCCTCCTGGCTCACAACATTGCTGTCCCTGCTGGGGACACCCTAGGGCAGAGGAACTGCGACAGGGTGGGCAGAGCCTGACTCAGCCAGAGGAACTTCTTCCCTGTGCCAGCCTGGATGCCCATGGTCTTCCTCTGGTGTTTTTCCAGGTCTCCCCACCTGTTTCTTCTCCCACCCCACGCTCCTCCTTGGCAGGCTTTGCCCAGAAAGGCTTTAAGCTTCTCTCCAGCCTCTAAACCAGGCTGATTTCTGATATGAGTGAACCTCCTCTTTGTTCTTCCTGTTCCCACCACAGTCCCACCTCCCTAGCTTTGAGATGCCCAAGGCCTCACCAGCATTCCCAGTTTCCCCAGCTCACGTCCAACCCCCCTTCCTCCCCCAGCGAGATCCTCCAGGCCTACTGGGAGAGCAACAACAACCTCAGTGGTGGTGGGGACGCCCCGTGCAGCCTCTCCCAGCAGCGCCCAGAGACTCCGTGCCACAAGAGAGCCATCATCGTCAGCGGGGACTTCCTGGTAAGGTGGCACCTGGATGCTGTTCTCCTGCCTGATGGTTGTTCCTGCCCTGTGGTATCACAGTCCTGGCTGGCACCAGGATGTGGTTCTCCTCCTGCCCAAAAAGTGGGAAAAGCCCATTTGGGGCTGGGGAATGAAGGGTGGAGAGGAAAAGAACCTTTCACTGAGCATTTGGTGCTGGGGGGCTTTGGCCAAAGCTGCCCGGTGTTGAGGGGTGACGCGGGCTGGGTGGTGACCTCAAGCTCTCGTGGTCACACTGGGACATACTGGGCTCATGGTCACAGCACCCCCTGTGAGATGGGCTTGGTGAAAGCCAGAGCCACTCTTTGGGGGCACTTGAGAGCAGTGCTGAGGAGCTGAGGGCTCTGAGGGCCGTGGGTGAGGTCCCAGCCATGTCTGCTTTCCCCCAAGGACAAAATGCTCCACACGGGAGAGGTGCTGAAGGAGAAGGGGTGGCCATGGCGGTGGCTGCGCTGTGACGGAGCCAAGGCCTCGCAGGACCAGGGAGGTCTGGTGGAGAAGGCCTTTGTGGACCTGGCCACCAGCTGCCAGGCTGTGATCTGCTGCAGGGTGACCCCCAAGCAGAAAGCCCTGATGGTGCAGCTGGTGAAGAAGCACAAGAAGGCTGTCACCTTGGCCATCGGGGACGGGGCCAATGATGTCAACATGATCAAAAGTGAGGCTCGGCCAGGGGGAGGTCTGGGTTCTGTTGGTGTGTCCCACTGTGATGGTGGTGCCCCATTTGTCATCTCCACCATCTCACCCTCCCCTTTGGGGTGAGGAACTGGGAGGGGAGCCCCAAACCTTGCTGTGCTGGGAGGGGAGCGAGAGGCACAGGACAGGGGCCAGCCCAAGGCAAGTGCAGGGTGGCCCACGTGCTTTTGGCATCTGGGATGAACCCTGATGAACCTTCAAACCCCAGCGTGGGCAGCTGGCAGAGCCACCCCTGCCCCTCGCAGCAGCGCTGACACGGGGCTGTGCTCTTGGCACACCACACCTGGAATATCTAGGACGTGGGATAGAGGGGGCTTGTTCCCTTTGTCTGTCACTCCTGGATTCACATTCCTGGGGACGACCCATGGGGAAATCAAGCCCCCAGCTCCCTCCAAACCTCCCGATGTGCGTTTGCCACCCGCAGCCGCGGACATCGGGGTGGGCATCAGCGGGCTGGAGGGGCTGCAGGCCGTGCAGTGCAGCGACTACGCCCTGGCCCAGTTCTCCTTCCTGCAGCGCCTGCTCCTCGTCCACGGCCGCTGGAATTACCTGCGCATCTGCAAGTTCCTCCGCTACTTCTTCTACAAGACCTTCGCTGGCCTCCTGGCCCAGGTGTGGTTCGCTTTCCACAGCGGATTCACGGCCCAGGTGAGGGGTGCAGGGGTCACATCCATCCTGTGGAGGTCTCTGCACCAGAGTTACAACTCCCCTGCAGGGATCGTGCCTGGGGCTGCCTGGAGGACATCACCACCTTGGTCCCCTGTTCTCCCTCACCATGTCCAAATTCTGACTGAGATACAACTGGTTATCTGTACTGGTTATCTGCTTTTTGCCTGGCTGGACTGGGAAAGAACCTCAGGGAAACTCAGGATCTCCTTGTGTGTCGTAGTTGAGATGGAGACAATACAACGCAACACTCCATTTTCAGAAGGCTTCAAAGCATTTTTTATTATAACATGCATGCTTTTTATACGTCCTTAAGAAACTCATAAGTTTACACTTTACTCATTGGTCAGGAAAGACAAACAAAGTTCTTATTGGAGTATACAGTTGCAGGTTTTTCTTATTTATCCTTTCTTCTTTCTTGGTATCTCTGTCAATGTCCTTGGTAGGAAATTCTTTGAGGGGTAAATATGGATCCTCTTATCAAACTCCTCTCTGGCTCACAGAACTGGCTGTAAAACCTCTTGCACACTTGTGAGCTGCAGTTCAGTCTTGGACAGATGCAGGATCCCACGTGCATTAAGCTGCTCTCCTCCAAAATGGGAGCTTTGATCTCAAGGGCCAACATCAAGTGTGACTTGACCAGCAACATGTGGAGCTCCAGCCCCATCTCTGTCTGCAGCATGACCCTACAGACAATGTGGGGCTGATGCAGGGGATGGGGGATGTCCAAGGGGACTTCCATGTTTGAATCTGAGCGTCCTGGGGCCTGGACATCCTTTGTGAGTCTTTCCAAAGCACCTCCAAGCTCACAGCTTCTCCCTGTTCCCTTTAGCCTCTGTATGATGGCTGGTTCCTTGCACTCTACAATATTTTCTACACTGCCTACCCCGTGCTGTCCGTGGGCCTTTTGGAGCAGGTACGGCTTCCCCGGGCTCACCCAGCCCTGTGCCACCCTCGGCAGGTGGGAACCACCCAGCAGTCCCTGCACCCACCTGCACAGCCCTGTGTGCCAGCACACGGCATTGGCAGCTGGGTGGGCATTTGGAGCTCACCCTCCATCCTGGGGTGCCTGTCCTCAGTCACCCCAGAGCCACTGGGCAGAGGGTGTGTGGGGTGGGGTGGCCCCATCCTGCTCCCCCAGTCCCTGCATCCCCTCTGGGATTCTCTCCCTGTCCCAATCCCTGCATCCCCTCTGGGATTCTCTTCCTCCCCCAGTCCCTGCATCCCCTCTGGGATTCTGTCCCTGCCCCAATCCCTGCATCCCCTCTGGGATTCTCTTCCTCCCCCAGTCCTTGCATCCCCTCTGGGATTCTCTCCCTGTCCCAATCCCTGCATCCCCTCTNTGGGATTCTCTTCCTCCCCCAGTCCTTGCATCCCCTCTGGGATTCTCTCCCTGTCCCAATCCCTGCATCCCCTCTGGGATTCTCTTCCTCCCCCAATCCCTGCATCCCCTCTGGGATTCTCTTCCTCCTCCAATCCCTGCATCCCCTCTGGGATTCCCTCCCTGCCCCAATCCCTGCATCCCCTCTGAGATGCTCTCCCAGCAGGACGTGAGTGCCAAGAAGAGCCTGGAGTTCCCTGAGCTCTACGTGGTCGGGCAGCAGGATGAGCTCTTCAATTACCGCGTTTTTGGTGTCACCCTCCTGCACGGGGTGGGCACCTCCCTCATCAGCTTCTACATCACACTCTGGGCCTTTGAGGATCGTGTTGGCACCAAGGCCGTGGGTGACTATGAGTCCTTCTCTGTCACAGTGGCCCTGTCAGCGTTGCTGTCAGTCCTCGTGGAGGTGAGCACTGATCTGCTCTTCCTCATCCTGCCCCACGGCAGATCTTCAGGGTCCCTGGGCTCTGGCACTATCCCCAGTGCCTCCATGGCTGGGGGAATGATCTCCCTGGGATGGAGGAGGGATTTGGACAAAGCAGCTGAATGGAAGGTCACCGTGACCCTCATGAGACTGTGTGCTCTGCCCACTCTGTCCTTGTCCCCACAGATTGTCCTGGACACTCAGTACTGGACAGTGTTGTCCTTCCTGATGGTCACAGCCAGCCTGCTCTTCTTCTGCCTCTTCTCCTTCCTGACCCAAAGTGTTGATGCCTACAGGATAGCCCCTGCCATCTTCCGTTTCCCAGGTGAGTGCCCTGGGGACCCCCTCGGCCCTTCCCTTCCCTGGCCTTGGTGCTAGGAGCTGTTTCCCACCCTGCAGATCATCTCCCCGTTCTTGAACTGCTGTCTTGACTTTTAACTCCAGTCTTGGTGCCACCTCCTCTTTAGAGCCCTCAGCACCTTCCTGGCTGGGGGCCTGTCTCCCAGCACTTGTTCCCTGCTCCCTCTCCATGTTCCCTACCCAAACACCACAGCTGTGTTGACAGATGCCAGCTGGAATGCCCTGACCGACCCCTATGTCCTGCTCGTGGTCCTGCTGGCCCTGGTGGTCAACACCCTCCCCTCGCTCACCGTCCACGCCGTCCGTGCCACCCTGGGCACAGCCACCACCCAGCAGGTGAGGGCTGGGGACACTGGCAGGGCAGGGCCCTGCTTCCCACCGCTGCTGGTGTCTGGGATTGGTGATGCCAAGGGGAGGTTCCCCAGGGAAGCCTGGACTGTAGTGCTGGGACATGTCCCCTCTCCTTGGTGGTCCCACTCATGGTGGTCCTTCATGATACTGGTACAACTCTGACTCCAGAGGCCTCTCCCAAAATTGTTCCATGGTCCAGCAGCAACAAGGGCGAAGACAGCTGACCCAGCTGTTGGAGAGGGTCTGCTTTTGGCTGCAGTAAGGACTTGTCCTCCAGGACCTCCCAGGAGGGTCGGAGGTCTGCTGCAGGTCCCCAGCCCTGATGGAGCTCACCCCCACCAGGGTTGTGGGTTATACCTTCAAAAGAGTCCAGGTGGAAGCAGGGCTTGAGATTGTGCTCCAGAGCTCTGTGAGCTTTGCAGCCCCCTGGGAGAGTCCCCACATCCCCCATCCCCTCATGGAAAAGGATCCATCACGGTGGAGCTGGGATCCAAACCCTGTCCTGGTGGGGACGCCTTGTGAAGGCTGAGCTAGAACAGAGATTGACAGAGCTAAAGAATAAAGCAGGGATTTATTAAAAGGATCTCCTCCATGGATCCACCTTGGGCAGCACAAGAGCCCAGCCAGGGCTGCACCCAAGATGAACCAAAATGGTCACAAAATGCACAACTGCTCACAGGGCCTCTCACTTTGTTCAGTTCTGCTCCATTTGCACATTGGAGTTCATTGTCCAATTCCAGCTCCAGCCCATGCAGTCCCATCATTCTCATTTTTCTCTCTTCATTCCACATTGTTTGTGCTCTTGGGCTGAGATTTGGATCATTTGTCCTTGGTGCCCAGCTGGAGCAGGAATTGTTTTGTCTCCCTGCTCTGTGCAGAGAGCTCGCCAGCCCATAACATGAAGCCCAGACCTGCACACTAAAGCAGCAGAGCCTGAAAAATAGAAAAGCTCAAACCTGAGGCACCAATGGAGGGTGTCCCTGTGCCTACTGTGTGTCCCACCTTTGGCTGAGGCCTTGCCTGGGAGGTGTCCACAGCCCGTGTGGGAGCAGGCGCTGACACTGTGCTCCAGAGCTCCTGGAGCTTTGCAGATCCCCTGGAGAATCCCCACATCCCTCATCAAGTGGAAAATCAGGTCATTGTAGAGCTGGGAGCCAAGCCATGCCCTGGTGGAAGTGCCCCTACACTCCCTTGATGCCTCAGGTTTGAGCTTTTATGTTTTTCAGGTTCTGTGCTGCTTTAGTGTGTGGGTCTGGGATTCCTGAGGGGACGGTGAGGGGGTGGGCACAGAGCAGGGAGACAAAACAATTCCTGCTCCAGCTAGGGACCAAGGACAAATGATCCAAATCTCAGCCCAAGAGCACAAACAACGTGGAATGAAGAGAGAAAAACAAGGATGGGACTGCATGGGCTAAAGCTGGAATTGGACAATTAACTCCAATGTGCAAATGGAGCAGAACTCCAAAAATAAAATAAAAGTGAGAGTGATAAAAGTGAGAGGCCCCATGAGAGGTTGTGCATTTTGTGACCGTTTTGGTTCATTTTGGGTGCAGCCCTGGCTGGGCTCTAGTGCTGCCCAAGGTGGATCTATTGAGGCCTTTTAATAAATCCCTGCTTTATTCTTTAGCTCTGTCAGTCTCTGTTCTAGCTCAGCCTTCACAAGGCATCCCCTTCACGTCCCCCCTTGGGCTGAGGGCTCTGCTGGGAGATGTCCCCACCCTGACCTCTGTGTGTCCTTGCAGAAGATCCACCTGAAGGCCAAGCAGGAGTCCCCGGTGGAGCTGCGCTCCCACGTCCCCCGTGGCTCCTTCCGCCGCCGCTCCGGATACGCCTTCTCCCACCGGGAGGGCTACGCGGGGCTCATCACCCGCGGGGACAGCCTGCGTGGCAGGGACAGCCTGCGTGGCAGGGACAGCCTGCGTGGCAGGGACACTCTGTGTGACAGGGACAACCTGTGTGACAGGGACAACCTGCGTGACAGGGACACTCTGTGTGACAGGGACAGCCTGCGTGACAGGGACAACCTGCGTGACAGGGACAACCTGCGTGACAGGGACAGCCTGTGTGGCAGGGACAGCCTGCGTGACAGAGACAGCCTGCGTGACAGAGACAGCCTGCGTGACAGGGACAGCCTGTGTGGCAGGGACAACCTATGTGACAGGGACACTGTGCATGACAGGGACACCTCTGGCAGCACCACTCGTGCCCTGAGCCCCCGCAGGACCCCGGCCGTGCCCTCCGTGTGCTGCCCCTCGGTGTAGCTGGCCCTCGGTGTAGCTGGCCCTCGGTGTAACTGCTCCTCGGTGTAGCTGCCCCTCGGTGTATCTGCGCTGTGGTGTAGCTCCTCCTCAGTGCAGCTGCCCCCCGGTGTAGCTGCCCCCGGTGTAGCTGTCCCTCAGTGTAGCTGCTCCTCAGTGTAGCTGCCCCTCGGTGTAGCTGCCCCTCGGTGTAGCTGCCCCTCAGTGTAGCTGCTCCTTGGTGTAGCTGCCCCCTGGTGTAGCTGCCCCCTGGTGTAGCTGCCCCCGGTGTAGCTGCCCCTCGGTGTAGCTGTCCCTCAGTGTAGCTGCTCCTCAGTGTAGCTGCCCCTTGGTGTAGCTGCTCCTTGGTGTAGCTGCCCCTCGGTGTAGCTGCCCCTCGGTGTAGCTGTCCCTCAGTGTAGCTGCTCCTCAGTGTAGCTGCTCCTCAGTGTAACTGCTCCTTGGTGTAGCTGCCCCCCGGGTGCAGCCCCTCTGCCCTGCTCGTGCCCACCCACGGGGACTGAGCTGCAGCGCCTGCAGGGAGAACCTGTGGGTCTCAGATTCAGTCAAAGAGAGAAACGGAGAGTTTCTGGCCAGGCAGAGGCCTGGGAAAGAGCTGGAGAAGAATGTAAATAATTCTTTATCTCTCTTGTTTTTCACATTGTTTACAGTTAAGTTCTATCACTGTGCCTCAAGCACTCTGCACCAATGCTGTGGGTTGTTTTCACTTCAAAACCAATGGATTTGGTCCTTGTGAAGCTCTGTATAAAAGAGCAGTGTATTTTGAATAAATCTGAGTTTTACTCTCACAGCCTTCTGAGTCAGAGTCTTCTCATTCCCGTCCTGCCTCGACAGCGACAAGAACCTTGCTTTGTGTTCTCCACCAAGGCCTGGGGTCAATCCTGTGCCTTTTCTGTCAGGTCACAGGATCCTGGAGTGGCTGGGGTGGTGTTGGATTAAGGGGTTTTTTGTTTGTTTGTTTGTTTTTTGTTTTTTATTTTTTGATTTAGAGATGCAGTAACTGAGAGACATTTTTTAAACTTTCATTCTATTTTTAGTCTTATGAGAAGAGTGAGACAATACAGATGTTATAATTTATGCTATTACAAACAGAAGCCGACTATTTTGTAATTACAATGGATTATAAGCGTTTCTTGGTTTATCAGCTTTTGCAACATTCTGTTCTAAACGGCTTTAGAGCCAATCATCTAAATTACTCCTCGTGGGTCTTATTACAATGCATCTTTCATAGTCCTATTTCTTTGAAGTATCTAGTCTTATTTGAAAGGCTATCCTTTGAAACTTGTTTCTAGTTCTATTTTTCTCTTAACAACGCCTGTCCCATTCCATGGCATTTCTAAGTCAACATTTCTTACCTCAAAGTTTGCATACATGTGCACACTATTTTCTACAACTTTATTTCCCACATTGTGGGACCTTAAAGCTCATCTCATTCCACCCTCTGCCACGGGCAGGGTCACCTCCACCAGCCCAGGTGGCTCAGACTCAAGCAGTGTAACTTTAAAATATCTCCTAATTTCTGGAGAGGCAGCCAGCTATGATTGATTGATTGATTGATTGATTGGTTTTTCTTCTCCAGCCAGACCAGCCTGGCTCCTGCAGCCCTCCTGGTCACTCCCCAGCCCTCCCAGCTCCTGCCTTTGCTGTCCCTGCACAAGGGGCAGTGTCCTCTCTGTGCCCTGCCCCACCTCCACACCACTCCCCCAGGTCTGGTGTCCCCATCTTTGGGGACAGCTTATGGTCACGGGCTCTGCAAAGTCCCAAAAAGCACTTTTGGGGGGGATGTGGAGAAGTGCTGCCTGCTGGGCACAGGGGACATGTCCCACAGAGCCAGGGCCACCAGCAGTGGCTGCTGGAGATGTGTGAACAACTGACTGGTGACTGGGTCACCCTTTTTATGGGTTTTGGTTTTTAATTAAAAGGACTTTTTAGCTTTTCTCTCCTCTCCTGGAAACCTCTTCTGTGCCACGAAGGGTGAAAGCAGCACTGAAAGGTCCCGTGGTCCCTCTGCCTGTGCCAGCTGTGCTCGTGTCGTGGCAAAAGGCACAGTAGGAGAAGGAATCTGGGTAAAAATATGCACAATTAAATCGTCCACGGGTGCTTGGCCCTGCCTGCAGCACACGTGATTCCATGGGTTTGTTTTACAAGTGCTTTGGCCTCATCTGCACCGGGTTTGTGAGAATTAAAGTGTTTCCCTTGGGTTCTGGCCAGAAGGGATTGGATGGTGCCAAGAAATCAAAATCTTTCCTTTGGGAAAGCTCTCACTGCTGCAGCTGCCAGGGGGAAAAGAGGGGGAGAAACTTTCCCTGGCATGATCCCGGAGCCTCCCAGGCCAGGAGGAGTGAGGTGCTGGAAGGGGGCAGGGGAGGGAAGTGACCCCTCACCACCACAGGACACCACACACGCCAGGGTGAATGACTAGAAAATAATTTATTGAAGAAACAGAAAGCTGCAGAAATACAACACAGTCATGACCAGTAGAGGATGAACAAATAGAGATTATTTTTTTTCTCTCTTTTAAAACCTGTTGACAGGCTGGAGTTGAGTTTCCTGATAGCTTCCCCTGCGTGACTCATTGCAAAGAACAAGGAACAAACTCCAGAGCACACAGCACATTTTGGATAAAGTGCCTGACACATAAGACTCTTTTTTATTTTTTTTTTCTTTTTTAACGTTTGTAAATAGCTTAAACAAATATAGTTGCAAGACACAGAGGAGTAACAATTGCATTTTGCTGTAGAATAAAACTTATCCCATGAGAGTAACAATGAAGCAGCAGCAAAAAAAAATTAAATTAATTTAATTAGAAGGAAAAAGTCATTTAAAAACTCAGAGATGTGGCCCTCAGACTGCATGGGACGAGGACGAGCATCACCTATTGCTGTACAGAAAAATGAGCAATGTTTTCTGGAGGAGGCTGGGCTGGCAGAGCCGAGGTTGTGAGTTCTCCCTGGCCAGGCTGGATTCTGTCTGACTCCTTTGTTTCCTTTAGAAATCAAAGGGAAAAAATACAAAGAAACCAAACCAAAACAAACCCAAATTTTACTCTTTGCATTTTTAATCTCCTCTCTTTAAAAACGCCAAACAAAGATGTGAGAGGAAGTGGGTTCCTTGTGGCAGCTCCTGCAGGTCCCCACGGCTGGGTGTCCTCTGAGACAAGGGATGGAGCCAGCTCCGTGCTGGGGACATGTGGTGGGGACAGGGAGGCAGATGGGGCAGTGACAGCCCAACAATGCCCACGAGAGAGGTAAAGAGTGGGTCTCAGATTCAGTCAAAGAGAGAAATGGGAGTTTCTGGCCAGGCAGAAGCCTGGGAAAGATCTGGAGAAGAATATAAATAATTCTTTATCTCTCTTGTTTTTCACATTGTTTATAGTTAAGTTCTATCACTGAGCATCAAGCACTCTGCACCAATGCTGTGGGTTGTTTTCACTTCAGGACCAATGGATTTGGTCCTCATGAAGCTCTGTATAAAAGAGCAGTGTATTTTGAATATACAGTTTTACTCAGCAGCCTTCAGAGTCAGAGTCTTCTTATTCCCGTCCTGCCTCAACAGCGACAGTAAAGAGGAGCTCCAAGTCTTCCCCACCCAGACTTGGGATGTTTGGAAAAAGGGTGAATGGTGAATTTTTGGCAAAGCCACTTCTCTCACCCTGTGCTGATGTCCTACCTGCACAGCTGATGTTAGAGCAGGGAAAGATTGGCTCTGAGTGGGGCAAAAATGTTCAGAACCGACCCCAGGAGCCTCCTGCTTTCCCAGTGGGACGAGGACGGCGCTGCCCCACTGCTGGCAATGGGGTTTCAAAATATAAAAGCCATTGTTGGAAAACTTCCACTCCAGGAAGAACTGGAGTGACTGGGGGCATCACAGGTCATGGAATGACCCAAATCCCTGAAGACTTCCACAGTTCAAGCAGGAGACACTGGCCAGGATGAATCAGTGGTTTTAGTGGGAGATCCCAGGTCTCCTCCTCTTCCATCACCCTCGGAGGTGTCCCCAGGGCCCCATTTTTGCTCCTGCTCCCCACAGCACAAAAATGCCCTTTGGGTGCAACCCTGGTCAAGAGAATTGTCTTTAGGACAGAGCTCGGATTGTCATTACCTGCAGGGGAAAAAAAATCTTTGGTATCGTGGCAAGTTGCTCCTCAAGGCATTTTGGTTGGTGTGGGCAGCAGGCACGGCCAGATCCGGGGTGGGCAGGGCTCGGCCGAGGCAGAGTCCTGGTGGGCCAAAGGACAGGGAAGAGGGCTCAGATCTTGGCTTCTCCAGGCTTTCCCAAGCCATCACTCGGGATGGAACCCAGCTGGTCTCTGTAAGCTCCAAGGACCTGTGACTGGGGCTGTGTCCAAACCTTCTTGCAGTTTAATTGAGGTCTTGGTCTTCAAGCTTGTCATAGTGGAAAAGGTCTTGGAGGAGGAAATGGGGCATGGTGGAGATGCTGAGCTCCCCAGAGGACAGAAGGGTTGGTCAGCAGATGGGTGGTGCTGCTGGCACCAACATCTCCTCCTAAAAGCCAGGTCCTTGGTCAGTGGGTCTTCCACCACCACCTGGTGCTGAGCATCGTGGTGCTGGCACCAGACAAAGGCTGCAGACTGCAAAACACCTTCCTTGGCTTTTGGGGGCCACTTTGGTGGGGCCTGAAGGAGCTGAGATCTCTTTCCTCGTGGTGAGCTGAGCTTTGGGTCCACCTTGAATGGTAAAGAGGTTGGGAAGGTCTGAGGAAGCGGCAGTTTCAGGGAAATGCTCTCCTCCAGGTCCCCATCACCCTCCTGGCCCCAAAGATGTGGCTTCTCAACGCTCCTCTGCTCCTGTCTGTAAGCAGGGAGAGAAGGAGGAGCAGGGGGAGGAAGGAGCCACTCAGGGGTGGGCTCTGGGCATTCCAGAAAGCCCCAAAGCCCTTCCAAAGGCCCTGAGGCCATCTGGTGGGTTGGGGTCCTCCAGGGGCTCTTCCACTGCCTGGACTCTTCTTCTTCCACCAGGGCAGGTGTCTTTACACAGAGTGAG